TTTTTTTTTTCCAAAACCAGAAAAATATGAAACTCAGTGACTTATCCATGCAGTTTGCAGTAATGGAGACAGAACCTTTATGTGTATTTGCTATGAGTGTATGTATACATATATAAATACATATGACACACACAGAGACACATTTTTTTTACCTGGAAGTCCCTTCAACAGCAACTTCTATAGTTACCCAAATATAAGTCACAATTTTTTTTTTCAGTGTRGCATTTATCTGCAACAACCTAACTGGAAAAAGAAAAATAAAAATAAAGGCAGCATTTCCCATAGCAGTGAAAAAAATACATCCTTAGAAAAAGGCCTAAAGTGGCATTGTAATGACTGTAAAAGTGACTCATTCAYACTGACAGCCCAGGAAATAGAAATACACACACACACAAAAAGGCAAAGGATATGATTAAATATCCTTTAAAATAGAGGAATTGAWAGCAGGAGATAGGATGCACACAGTCAGAGGTCCAATTTAGCACAGCCTAAAATAAAGGATTAAAAGGTCTAACTAGGAATACAGGAATATAACAGGAATATAACCCTTCTGATGCAAAAGCAGACCTTTTCCAGTTTACTATACTTCAGAGGCATTGYATTTGCCCTCTGAGAATTTCCAGTACCTTCTAGGACTTGGGTGACAGAGGTTTCATTAGACCTATCTGCAGCACTGTCTCCCAGCTGGCACAGTCTGTGTGTTCCCTTAAAAATTATTGTGTGACATGTGCTGTTTTGCTGCTGCTTGCAASATCATGTTCTCTCATTTCCTCTGCTGTAAATATGAAGAATGAAGTGAGCAGGAATTCTATCACCTCTGCTCTGATGATGATTCCTGCCCCAGCTTTACATGCCCAGAGTCGGGGCTGGGCACCAGAGCCACCAGAGAGCCCTGTGCYGTCACAGCAGCTCAGTGAGTTCAGGCAGTGTGCATCATCAGCATGCAACCATTACTGATTGAAAGCAAAAGTCATGGAAATTCCACCCCCCATCCCAATTTATCTCCCTTCTGCACCCTGCAGTAGCAGCTCTTATAGTCTGTGCCAGTCCTGAGACCAGAGACTTCATCCAGTTCCTCCAAGAACTTCAAATTCCTTCTTGTCATGAAAGACAATTTTGGTTGGTTACCTGCCTTTCTCCATTTAGCATAAATTCTTTGCTACTGCACTATTCCAGTCTCTTAAATTCTCAAAAGAAAACTGGGAACTAAAGAGAAAATTTAGAAAAACAACTGTTTTCATAAGCTTTTATGTTGAAAAGCTGTATAACCTGATGACACTGTTTCATTTAAAGTCCCACCTTCCTTCTGCTTTTATGAAGGYTGCAAATGCTGCTTTTCAAGCGCACCTGAAAAAAGAATTGAAAAGAAAAACCTTGTGATATTTYKAAATCAAAATTTWAAAAATAAATAAATMAATAAGCCTAGCACAAAAAGTCCCTTATTTTTTTCATATACCTCTAGACCTCTCTTGCCTTTTCATTTTCGTTGTTAATTTCTTTCATTCTTACTTTAAAAGGGTTGTCCATTTTCCCAAGTTAGGATTTACTTTTTCCCTTCTTCTGGTCTGTTCACATCTGGCTTTAAGTACTTCTGCCACCCTATCTCCGCTCAGCTTTTCTTCTGACAGCTCCAGACTCTAAATTGGTCCTTCATCATTTTCTCATTCTTGGCCTCCCATCCATGATTGCCATCATCCAAGAGCTGGGAACTGAATATAATCTGGGAGGCAGAGCTGTAGCAACCGTGTGCCTTGAATACAGAAACCTGCAAAAAATTTTTCTAATTCCCTGACCAGGCAGTGCAGAGTACTCCGTGCAACRGTCAAAGTGAATTATAACCTCTGAAATTAAGACTGATTTATTAAAATAACCCAATCTTTTTCACAGGAACATTGGTTTTCTCTACAGCAAATCATGTAACTAGCTCATTTTCATTGTGTTACACCTTTCAATCGGGAAAAGAAATCTTTTGCTCCTATCAAAATATTTTTACATGTGGACTAAAGCAAATTGCTTGTTTATATAATTTCATAAATCTTAATAAACGAAACAACAAACTCACTACACTCAGGCCTGCACTACTTGGACAGAAACTACCCATTGGTAGCAAAAATCTGGTCATCTAATCTTATTTTCAAACAGGCAATGCCTTCAGCATCYTAATAAAAGCCACTCCAGAGCACAAAATCCACCAGCAGACCAGACAAGCAAAAATGTTAGTTACATGTAAGCTCTATAAAGTCTCTAGCCTGTTTTTTTTTTTTTTTCCTAGCTGTTTGGACTGGAAAAGTACAGTCTATGTGTTCAAGTCTCAGCTGAGCTTATTGATAAATAAACGTATTTTGATGCAGTTAATTTGGCTCAACCTGCTTTTCTAGTGGAGAGAGAGTAATTTCAGCAATGTATATTTACTAACCCAGTTGTGTGTAATTTTGCATTTGCACACACTATGGAAGCATGACTACTCCATTTCATTAATGGGAAGCTGTCAGACACTGAAAACACCACAGGAGGAAACTGCTGCCACAGTGATACCTCTTGTGACTGATTCTRACCACACCCATTAACCTTTTGTGACCTCATCATCACATTAATCACATTTGCTCACATACAAAGGTTCAAAATACAAATTTCTTTGCTCACTCAGGCAGGTTTTGGTCACCTGGTCTATCTTCCCAGCTGGAGACACCACAGACACTTKTACTGCAATGGATGTGGGAGCTTTGGATCATGACACAGGTTAGAAAGGCTGAAACTGCCTTCGGTGGGATCGACACAGGACCCAGACTGCCTCAGATTATCATCCCACAAACACTTTAAACCAACATAAAATAACAATGTCTTAGAAAAGAAGGGTCGTATTCCCCTCATCACCCACGACAATGTAGATCATGCTCCTCATTCTGGTGGCACTGCCAGCTCCAGCGGACATAGAGCAAATGCCAATACACTTTGAGAAACTTTTCTTGAAGTCCATAAAAGCAGTACTAAGTGTTTACTTTATATCAAATTAGTATTTCCAACTTACTTGCTGCAACTGCTCTTTCCCATGTAGTTACATTAAAATTGATTCTTTTGGAAWGCTCTGTTTTCTGAAGGAAGGTTAAATTTTCTGAAACAAAGCTGAACTTTCTCGTGGTCCAGCTCATGTCCTGGGGGTCAACGTGTTCAAATGCCTAGTTATAATTCCTCACTGAATGGTAAATCTATTTACCCAGTTAACTTCAGAGCTATACTGAGATATGAAAAGCACTCATCAGGAAGATGGCAGCAATGCTAAAGATGGGAGATGAACAGCTACATTAACAGCAGCAGGAAACAATTAAGAAACTGAACAAAGACTTGYGAGAGAAAATTGAAAGGATTAAGAATAAGTCTGTTTTGCTGTGAAGTAACTATAAGAGGAAAGAAATTATACAATTCTCCATATGGTTTTGTTTCATTCTGTCCCCAGGGTACTCTGTCCCCATTGTAAAACTTAAATGGTTTCATAAGAGAAACATACAGAAGAAGGTTATTTGTCCTTGTTTTTTAAGACACTTTTCCCTGGTTTCACTGTGAAAAGCAGCTTAAGATAGGAAGACTCCATCAGCCTCTCCTGGCTCTCTAGGGAGAAAATATGACTGTTCAGGAACAGAGTTTGACAGAGTTTAAAGACATTTGCTCCACAATTGTGAGATATAACATGTAAATCTTGATGCTACTAAGTTCTACTGATATTCTTTTTTTAAAAAAAAATTCTATTCTTCTTCTTATAAACATACTGTGAGTCCCTCTGGCAGTTCCCTCATTCTCAGAATGAACTGAATGCACATCAACAAAATCATGACACTTTAAGTAACAGAGCACTTGAAGCAGATACCACCTTCTTTTACAATGCAAACTAAAATTACTGGCAGAATCACCTCTTTGAAGTACATGTAGATGTTAAAGCTTCCCAGAACGTGAGACGATAATGCGCAATGATCTTTTTTTATTTTTTTCCAGAGGAGATTTAGTATTTTTGTCCTGATATATCAGTGAGAGAAGTCTGTGTTCTGTGCCCTAAAAAYAATCCAAGATGCACAGAATCAGAAYAGCATAAAGGATATCAGTGCCTCTGTGCTGGAGAACACTTGGGTACCTGTGTCTGCTTCTGTTTACRAGCTCAACTTGGAAGGGTTATCTGAGAAACACAAACAGTCCTTGAAGGTAGAACTAGAGCCCAGTAATTCTTCTCTAACTGTGGATCTGGACATGCTCTTAGAAAACCTGCCTAGGATGCTCATTTTACACCCTTGCTTGGTTTCCTAGATCACTTTTCTTCCAATCTCTTAAAATTTCCTCTTTGACAGAAAATCTGGCTCCTTTTTGAACGCTGTCCCTCACTTTAGATCTAAAACAGATACCAAACATTCATAGGTTTTTACCATTACGCTTTCAAAAGTATTCTTTGATGAGATTAAGGATAGATAAACTCAATGCCATTTCTACTTGTCCTGAGTCAGAAACATAAAACTATAATTCTGCATTTAGAATATTGCTCTAAGTGTAACAATTAAGTTTTCAGGAGCAGTATTAGTAAATGTGGGCACTGCATTAAAAAGCTTAATACACCTTAAAGGTCATGTAACTACAACAAGAGAGCTGAAATGCTTTAAAAATCAAAATTACAAACTATGCAATGCACAATGTGAGGACAGACATACAGATTAATGAAAGGCAATTTAAAGGTCACTTGGAGACTGGTATAAAAGTAATGAAATTTTCTAATAAATGAACTTATCAAATAATTGTCCACATGGCTGCTTTTTAATGAATCCTTTCACATGAGCCATTATTTGACAGGAGAAAAGGCCAGAGCCAGATGTGTTTCATCACCTTTACCTCCTCAGCATTCTTCTGTGTACACTACACACAAAGTAAACTCAATCATAATTCTCAAACTGAGTTTAAACAATAATTCAGAGAAATTTACTGAGGATACAGATATTTGCTGCTTTCATAGGCAGCACTAACTGCCTCCTAGTAWAATTAAATAATGGGCAGAAGGTTCCAAAGGAACAGGACGGACAGTTTTGCCCAAGTAGGTACCTAGTACGCCCTTGCTGTCCCTATCTGCACGGACAGCTGCGCTTCCTGTCTCTGTGGCCGTGCATAAGGCACTCAGGAAGGAAGGTTTCTATCTTTACATGTTTTCCATTGAAGTACTTTCATGGCTAATTCCTGGAGTACTGAGTCACRCTGACCATCCACACACTCCCCCCCACCCAAACCGTTATTTTTCTCCTTACTCCASTTTTCCCATTGTTGTGGACCTTTTCCTCATTTAAACTGTGAATTTTCTAACATTAATAGAAATTCAAGGGKTTTTTTTATAAAATACAGGCTAGAATCACTGCTTTGTTTTACACAGTTATTAAAACTGAAGTTTGCATCAATTACTATAAGTAAAATATTACAAAAGTCACCCAAAATATTCTGGTGTTTTGRGGGGTCAGGTAAATGTGCATTACACTGACATGACTGTAAATCTCATTCMCTACCCTGATTGTTTAAGGGTTAGGTTCTTGAAAATTTCAAATATTCTCTGAGTGTAATTGATTATGTATTATCAACTTAATTTTATTCTCTTAAAATCTTCTTGTAGTTCTCAAAATATGCTTTGCTTCAGATGTTACTAGGATTTGAAACAGCCTGGCAGACCACTCTGCTTGAATCAAGCCTCTCTTGGAGATACTGCACTGAAGAAATTGCTTTTGAAAACAAGAGCTTTTCTTCAAACRCGAGCTATTGATCAGAATTATTCAGCTTGAGGAGGGCTTCCTTTCCGAGAACTGTCTTGGAATTTAAAATACCTCAGACTGAGATTATGACAACCAAATATTAGCTGTATTAATCATAAAAGCATATTCATTGTCCTGCTGTTTCAAATTTGCAGAGGAAAAAAAGTCTCCCCTATTGTACCAGTCGTTGCTGGACTTTGAATCTAAACATCTRCCCACTGCATTTACCGTATTCTACAGAAAACACGCCTGTTGACACTGCTTTCGGCAGCTAAAGAAAAAAGGATTACTCAGTTAAAACCGAAAGTCTGTTCCAAAGTACTCACCAAACTCCTAGCAACAGTTCTTCAAGAAAGAGGGAATTCCTGAATCAGAGCTGAATATGATCCTCCCCTGTAATTCCCGTTGAAGGGGTGTGGTGTAAAGCTACAAAGGCAGGATTGCAACCTGATCTTCCTAGAGCGGACTCCTGACGGGGATTACTCAGCTCGCCGCTGCTCTGGTTGTTTGTGGAGCACATGGGCTCGCTCTGGTACAAGTCAGAGATCTGCAGCAGCGGCAGGAACGCTTCCTGTTGAAAGTTTTCTCATCTGCCTGGGGTTTGGAGCAACTGTTTTTTAAAGAGCACGAGCTAAAATGAAATGCACCCTTAAAGCATGAGAGACTGTGGGATAAGCTAYTCATTGTACCTGGCAGGCTCTGATAGGGCTCATGAGGTGCCCTRTTCCTTTGAGAGAGATGCGGTGTGATGGATCGCTGTGTTTTGTGTGGTTTTAAATGCAGTCACGCTGCTCATTCTGCGTCCGGGCTGCCACCAGCGGTGTCTGGAGCTGCTCACAAAGGTGATTCTGCCTGCAGMTACAACATCCCATATGTTTACACCTCACACCAGTGTGTGCTAAAAMCCGAGTTCGGGATTGTTAAGAGTACCATGGCTGATGATAGAGGACTCTAAAGACCCCTTTGTAACTTGTGGGTGTAATAACAGATGTCCAGAATTTTAGTCGTGGACACACAGGATGTGAMTCTCCAAGGTAAGGAATTAAACAGTAAGAGAGACAGAAATAACAGCTGACTTGCCATAGCTTACACAATCAGTAGCTGTAACTCATTGTARTTATTTCTAGGCAAAGACAAAGAGRAGGTTAAATCACTTCCACTGAAAGTTACATTCATCTGTTCATCACCATCCTGAAACAGACGGGAGGTTTGTCCTAGTCAGTTAATGGATTAAACTATCTCTGACACTGACAGAAGTGCTCCTGGAAGCAGCTTGCATCTCCTGGCTGTTGTTCCTGACTGTAAAAATGTCTAATACTTCAGAACAAAGCCAGTAGTSAGCTGCTTGATATTAACTGGGCCAAGAATCAAATGGATTAACTGTTCTGAAGTGGACCAGAAGCACTCAGCAAGTAAAGGGGCAGTGCAGGTGCTGGGGGTGAGGTTCTACCACRCAGTTACTAATTACCAGCTCAGATGAAGCAAGAGGCAGCCCAGCTCCAGAGATCAGTGAAATGGAAATGGTCAGTCTGTCACTGTGTCACAGCACAACAAAAAAACAGGGTGAGCCCAGGTGTCAAGAATTTCTATCTATCAGTGTTATCCATAAACCCATTTGAGAGTCACAAGTWAGACAATCCAAAACAGATGCACTAAAATTACATGATGACTTAAAGAAATGTCTGCTCATTTACAATAGAAACAAAAGTCACTAGATTTGAAAAAATTTACATACTTCTTCATTTTGATAATGCATCTATATAGATAGTTTCAAACTTGCTCCATTCTACAAGCCATTTACAAACAAGCTTTGCAAAAAGCTTTGCTTTTAGTCTCACTGGATGCTGAATGGTCTCAAATTACAAGTCCATGGAAATGTATTTCATGTTTAGGTCTGGGCCTGGCCATGACTTCAAGTGGATTTTTTTGTTGTTTTCATGAGATTCTCTTTTTTTAAATGAACACACACACAAGAGTTTTTCTAGTTTGGGTCACAATGTGTCAGTCCTTTTCTTACAAGATCTTACTCGAGTAACTCAAAGCAATTCTGGAAGAAATAGACCACAAAGACATGAAAAAACAAAAGGGAAAAGCTACAGTTTAAAATACTTTTGTCATAATATAGTCAAATAAGGGGAGAAAAACATAGAAAAAAAGTACTTTAAAGAGCATACGAGAAAATAAAACCCTTATTTTGTTCAAAAGTTAGACTAAGAAATCTTCGGTAAATAATAAAACAGGATGAGAGTAAAAATGCCACCAAGTGCACRAGGAACACATACTCAACAGAAAATTCCAAGAAAACTATTTCATTTTCACATTAGCAGTTTTGTTTTCTATTCTGTTAATRTCTCTCCAGCTCCCACATGCAGTCATACCAATTTCGTTGCCAGGAATTAATTTAGTGTCCTCCTAATGTAGTTTGCATTATAACTACAGCATAAAAGGCTTCAGTTGAAACTGGAATTAGCCTTTGAAGATGAAAACAAAGCTGATTTGAACCTTTAGCAGGATCAGAGAATTCCATTCATCTATGATCTGGCCTAGAMAATCACACTAATCTCTGGCCTGCCCCTAAGTCTGCTGATAACTGTTGGTCCACAGTGGAAAATGTCCCCATTTCACCAGGTATCAATGAGCAGATATAGACAAAAGTACAGCCAGAGCAAACTAAAACAGAAATGCCAYGAAAAAACTGCTTGTCCAATTCTTGCAATATTCAATACTTGTCTCTGAAGAGTTCAAAGTTGAGATAATAAGAATTTAGTCTTCTGACTAGTGCATAGAATTGCTGCCCACAAATTGGGAGATCAGGGAATTTAAAAAAAAAAAAAAAAAAAGCTTTGTGTGAAAGGTCAGTGTCATTACCTGCCTGATGAACAAACAGGCACTGATTGAAAATACACACCACCAGCT